CATCCCACACCTCCCCCAATCCCACAGTCAGTTCCCACACTGTTGTCCATGTCCATGGGTCATTCATACCTGTTCTTTGTTTAGTCTCTACCTTTCTGTCACTCAGACTTTCTACACTATCTCTGGTTAGGCTCATCCATTCGCATGACCTAAATCTGTACATTACAAGTGCCCATATTTCTATTCTTGATCCATAATCTCTTTGAAGCTCAAAACCTGTATATACCATTTCCTAGATTACCATTTAAATATTACATGGGCATCTCAAACCCAAAGTACTCAAAGATTTTAAATGTTCCCTTCATATTTCAGAAAATGACACAATTAATAACCTACATCTAATAAGTCACTAAGTATTGTTTATTCTATATTCTACTAATCATCCACTTTTCTTCATCCACACAGTCCCTATCTTGATTCAGGCCACAATTATCTCTCAGCTGATTTAGTGATAGATTGTATTGCAGTTTATGTATTTATTTGTATTAGACTGAGTAATGAAAGGATAAGACCACTCATTTATTCATTCAATTAGTATGTATTAAGGGCCTACTGTATAGCTTATTGTGTCACATTCATCTCTGTCTTTCATTTTTTTAAAGATTTTATTGGGGAAGGGAGGGAGAAAGAGAGGCAGAGAAACATCAATGTGTGGTTGTGCTTCGTGTGTCCCCTGCTGGGGACCTGGCCTGCAACCCAGGCACGTGCCCTGACTAGGAATTGAACTGGCAACTCTTTGGTTTGCAGGCTGGAGATCAGTCCACTGAGCCACACCAGCTAGGGCTCTGTGTCTTTCTTTACATCAAGTATATTGCCTGACATTAAGTAGGTACTCAGTATATGTTTGTTTTATTGAATTAAGTATACTATGTTACAAATGAGAAAATAGGGTCTAGAGACCTTCCAAACCCACACAGCCGGTTGGGATACTGGAATTTACATTTTCTTACTCTTAGTTCAGTTTTCTTTACACAGGACCTCATTGTCCCACCATCCTACAGTTCTATACTCTCCCAGGTCATTGTTTTCTCTCTGACTTTTCTATGCCATTTTCTTATTATTGGTGATATTACTCCTACATTTGTTTGCAAGCATCTGTGGAAAATAAAATAACTATCACCATCCTCATAGGTTTTTTGGTTAAGAAACTATATTTCCTTAGCATTGCTTACTTCTTCTGGCATCACCACTGCTGAATCAGGATGCCCATGGTCAGCTTTTCACCTGACACTTCTAAAGAGCTCCTCTTGACTTAAGTAGAGTATGGATAGAACTGGTCTCATACAGGAACTTACAGGCTCTCAAATGGATTTGGACTCTATTCTGGGAAAAAGAGAATGAGGAAATATTTTCAGAATTTGTGCAGAATATGTGTTTTATGCAGAAAAATAGAGAGGATTGGTTATTAATATAGGCTGAGAGAATGTGATATTTGATTCAGTTTGTCGATGAAGGTTCTGATAATGATTATTTTAGACACTGACTTGGACTATATCATACACAGTTGGTTTTTCATGTATAATCTATTTCCACTTGCTACAATTTAGGAAACCTAAATAAGCTTAGTACATTCCAGGAATATGTATAAAACATGTGGGTGGTGCCTTCTAGAGAAAATTTCTGCTCTTGTTAAGGCTATGAGTGTAGGGTACCCTCTTAGTATGGTTTATAAAACGTTTTCACATCTTTGTGTCTTTGTTCATTCTGTTATCTCTGTTTGCAATAGTTTTTATTCATTCATTTATCTATCAAATATTTTCTGAGAATCTTTTCTGCACCAGGCATTATACTGAGTTTGGGAGATTCAGTGATAGTCCTTTTTGCAGTTGATCCTGTCATCCTTTATATTTCAATATCACCGTTTCTAGGGAGCATTTCATAACCCCCTCAATACTGGATTAGGTGTATTTCCTCTTTGCTCCTTTCCATAGCACTTATCCTTTATTATATTTGTGTATTTGTCATCTTCCCTACTAAATTATGAGCTCTTTCAGAGCAAGGATTCATTTATTAATTAAATATTAATTAAAAATATATAGTTATTATACAGTTGACACTTGAACAACACATTGACCCCCTGCACAGTTGAAAATCCACATATAATTTGTGTCTCCCCCAAAACTTAAGTTGTCCCTCAGTATCCATGGAGGTCTTGATTCCTGGAACCCTGCAGATACCAAAATCCACAGATGATCACCTCCCCTATATGAAGTGGAGTAGAGCAGTCAGCTTTTTGCATCTGCAGATGCCCAAACAGAGATAAAAAAAAGTACAGGTGTTTATTGAAACATTCAACCTGTCCTATGTTAAAAGGAGAGAAGTAGAATGTACAGAGTTGAAGAATAACATGATTGACTATCAGAATAACTTAGACTTAGTGCTCTAGAAATTAGAAGTTAGTTTTTGAACATAAGAATAAAATGTGAAAATAAGCCAGATTTAAGGAAGATATATTTGGCATATATCTGTTCCAATTTAAAGCTGGACTTTGAAAAATAAAAGGATTTCAAATTGAAATTATCTCTTGCCTCTCCTATGGGTCTCATTTGGGTGAGAAAAATTTCTTAATCTTAACATCTACGGTTCATTATGCACTTACTATATTTCAGACACATGATATACCTTTTAAATGCAAGACTTTATTCATTTTACAGGAAACAGCACAATCCTGTGATGTAGGTACCTCCATTTTAAAGATTAAGAAACAAGCCCAGAGTGATGAACTGAGTTGCCTAGTCAGATAGCTCATAAAATGAGAAACAAAACTTTGAACCCTGATCTGTGTGACTTGAATCCAGTAAGTACAGTGCTTGTATAACGTAGATGTGCAATAAGTACCCATTAAAATGGGTGAATGAATATATCAATAAATCTATCCTCTTCTATGGATGAATTTACAGATTAGCTTTATTGGCTTTCATGGCCTTGATAAACTCAACTCAGTGTTAAGAGTAAGGCAGAGGTTTGAGCCACAAAAGAGAAAAATTTACAAAGGAAAATCTTTTTACTCTGGAAATTGACTGAAAAAAGATCTGAATTTGTTTAGAAATTATATATACATATATATATAATATATATGTATATATACACACCCACACACATATCAACAGAACAGTTTGAAACAACATTGACACATACGTACTCACTTGTGCATGCAGACCTACACAAGCATTCATGTTTTTAATCTCATGTTTTCTTTACCCTCTTGAGAAGGTGTAAATAGAATGTCAGAGCTAGAAGTTATCTTTACAATTACCTAATCAGATCACCTCATGTAAATGCGGAAACTGAAGCACTAGAGGTAAAGTAAATTGCAAAGGTCACACAGGGAATTAGAGTAAGATTAAGAATCTGAGTTTCCTGACTCACAGGTTTGTTTTACTCTTAACTGTCACCATTTACGTTCTCAATTTTATCGATGGGATAACCAAAGCATCCTAAGAATGTTGATGGTCAAGCTCCTGCTACTTGTCCATTGAAGCAGGACTTGAAATCAGATCCTTTTATTTTAAATATAAGGCTTGTTTTCATCCAAGTGCTTCTGTCTGGATGCCCAGAAGGAAGATCCCTTCCTACTGAATTTAATAGTGAACAGAGGATAATTTACAGAAAACTTCGTCCTTTGATTTAAGAGAGAATGTCCAAAGCTACTTTATTTTCAGATGCTTGGCAGTCCCAAGAAGGCTCACTAGAAGCAGGAATTCTGTCTTCATTATTGAATCAACAACATCTAGCACAAAGGAAGGCATTCAAAAAATATTTGTTGAATATATGATATTCTAAAGGCAGAAAGGAACAGTAGGCTGGTTAATGGTTTCCCAATGGATGATGGATGGATAATCATTATTAATGCTGAAAAAGTGGGAACGAATGTAGAAAAGAGGTGGGAGAAACCTTTAAACAAAGGAGAAGCTCTGTCTCCATCTGATTGAAGCTGCAATCACCCAGCAAGGGCTGAGTGGCTTGGTAGGACTGTGGTTGGCAGAGATATTTAAATAAAGCCTCCTTAAAATGTTACTCCCCGCCCCGCCCCCATTCCCCTTTAAATTCTGTTTCAGTCATTACCCAGGGACCGGATACAGAGATTCCTATGGGGAGTTCTAATGGGTCGATTCAATTCAACTGGATGACGCCACTTAGCCAAGCATTAAGAGCTACAGCTCCGGGAAAACAAACGACACAGAGAGAGGGAGAGAAGGAAATTATAACAAGGAGCAATAAATCCCTTCTCTCCCATCCTCCCCTATAACCCATTCACAAGACCTCCAGAAATCACCTACATTCACAAAACAGCCAGCTAGCTGAGGTGAATACGCTGCAATCTCTCCCTTCTCCCCCCTCTCTCTGCAGATTATATACCAACACACCCTGAGCTAAATAAATAATCACACACTATCGGTATCTATTGCTCTGTTTAGATACCCTGTGTCTACAACTGCAGTATCTGCTGCTTCGGTTCATCTGTCAGATTGGAGGAGACAGAGGCGGAGGTGGAGGCGGAGGCAAAAAAGGAGGGGGAGGAGGTAAAGGAGGAGGAAGGGGAGGAGGGAAGGGGGAGGGGAGAGGAGGGGAAGGAAAACGCGGAGGAGGAGGGGGAAAAGAAAGAGGAGGAGGGGAAAAAGAAAGAGGAGGAGGGGGAGAAGGGGGAGGAGAAAGAGGCGGAGGAGGAGGGGGAGGAGAAATAGGAGAAGGAGGAGGAGAAAGAAGAGGAGGAGGAGGTGAACAACTTACCCTGCTGAGCTTTCTTTGGGAATACGTGCATGAAGATTTAGGTCTGCAAGGAAACCTATACAAAGTATCTGCCACTACAGGTCTGACTCTCCTTCCCCCACCACCGTTTTTTTTTTTCCTTTCCGTTTTCTCTGCTGTGTCAGAAAGACCGAGACAGAACTATCTCTGTTTCTGGCTCCACTGCCGGTGAAGGAGTTTTCATTCAAGACTTTCTGAAAAGAGGTGGAGAAACCTAAAGACTCAGGAGAAGAGGTCCTTTGAGCCAGATGGGGCATTAATTCTTCTGCTTTTCTCAGAATGGATAGATCCTTTCCTCAAGGTAAGCCATACAGATTAGCTCTTAAGGACCCCAAAATTCTTTCTATGCACAGATTGCCATTCATTCCAGCCATCGTCTGTGTGTGTGTTCGTGTGTATGTGTGTGCGCGCTTGTGTGCACGCGCACAAACGCAAGCGCGTGGGTAAAATGAAATGAAAACCATTTAAATGAGATTTAAATGAATCAGCCCTTGCAGAACACTATTCGTGTTGGATATTTATAAATCAAAATTAAATTTCAAAGTAACGTTTTTTTAGCCAAATGTCAATTTCATTTCTAGCCTGTTGTTGACCTTTCAATGCATTTTAGTGCTTGCCTAAAGCCCCTTATAGCGCAGCCTAACCATGCAAACTGAGGATGTAGGGAGAGCCCATGCTGAGGCCAGTCTGGCTGCCCAGCGGGTATCTTGTCAGCGTGGGGCTAGTCAGCTATTGGCTCACAAGTCTGGGCTGTGCATCGTTCAGATTTCATCACATCACCTTGCCCTGGGTAGAAATGGCGCAAGCTGACACGGCATAACCCCCTACTTACATTGAGTCAGAGCAGTGATTTAGAAATCTCTGGATCCATGCCTGGGTGTATGTGCACATGTCTCTCTATGTGGCATATGGAAATTTTGTCAAAAGTGAGAACCTGTGAACATGTCTAGTTAGCTAGTAGGCATTTGATAGAACCTAAGGCAGTGATTTACACTCCTTTCTATTCTTCTAATTATAATTATCATTCACCTTTGCATGCTGCAAACTGAGTTGGATGAACAGAAAACAGTCCTTGAACTCTTAAAGAGAAAATCTATTTTGAATTGCAAACTACTGTTGCTTTTCTGAGTACATTAAAACTTCACTGAAACATAATGGGCTATCACATGAATTTAGATATACCAGGTGTTAAATTGTGTTTTTTCAAAAAGTTAGCAGCATACATACATGCAAATAAGGTTGAGGCTAGCAGTTTATGCAGAAGAAAGTATTAGTCCTTTCCTGTGTACCTCTATATAAACATTTACTAAGACTTTATTGTAATATTCTACACATTTTGCGTGTTCTATTTCTTGGCCTCTCTAGCTGTGATATTATCTAGATAGTGACCTCAGTGACTTGGATTTAGAGGTATTTTATTCAGGGTTGAGAGTTGAATAATGAGAAAGTAAATAATTTTTTAAAAAGGACACTAATTCTTTATGAAAGAACTTTGAGACAGAAATGCAACCTAAGAACCCAGCATAAAATATTTAGAGCATCAGGGCAAGAAGGGGCTTTTAAAATCTTCCTTTCATATCCCTTCGTTTTGCAGATGAAGAAACTAAGGCCTGGAAAAAAAAAGTCACTTGCCCATAGTCACAGAGCAAAGTAGAGCTAAAGTCAGGTCTAGAACTTGTTTCTTGTCTCCTATAAAATGACTTGGGATTCAAAGAAAGATTTCTGCTACTTAAATGAACAACTATCATTTTCTTACAGATTAGAAGTGTGTGAATTCATTTGATATTACAATTTTTTCCTGTATTTCTCATCACTAAAACACCTAGATCTTTAAAAATGCCAGATCCTCAAACTGCAAGACTCCCTGGTTTGAAATAAATTGCTATGATTCTTAATGAAACTATTAAAGTAATGAATAGGACTAGGGTAGCAAAGTGACAAGTTAAGAGTTAAATGTGGTGAGAACCTGGCAGCTCCAGCAAGATGTATGCGGTAGGAGGGAGGCCCAGTCAGTGGCTGAGAGGTTAGTAATGTAAACTATATACAACTTGGTATTTGTAAGGGGGGGAGTGCTGTGATAGAGATGCAAATGCTTTTGCACAGAGAGGGATTTTTAGAGAGCAGACTTTGGAACAGTAGAACTAAGAAAACATATAAAGCCAAAGTAGAATCCCCCTATGTTTGCTTTCAGTTATTCTGAGAAGGAGTGTATATAAGAGCAGAGCACAGAAAAAAGCAACACACCCCAGAGCCGTTAAACAGTAAGGTACAAAACAGCATTGAACCCATGGGAGTGGGAGAACACAGGAGCCAGGCTCTCCTTCTTCTCTTTCCCCCTCTTCTTTGAAATCGAGATTGAGTCATATTGTATCAGAAAGGGTTTATCATAGAAATCAGAACTGTCTTAAGGTGTTAGCATAGAAGGCTTTAGATAGGAAAGTTTTCAACTTTAGTCTCAACATGGCAGATTTTAGGTTCCAGGGAGAAAATACAGTTTTCTTCGACTAACAGTGTTTCTTGAATGGGTTAGTTTTCTAGTCCCTAAATTGACATAAGAAAAGAAATTTCTGTTTAAGTTGAACATAGCAAATTTCAGGGCTATAGAAAAACTGTTGAGAAAGTTATGAGCACCTGGCTAGAGGGACTGAGATGGGAGTGGGTTTACAATGCATCATTCATTACTGCAGAAGTACTACGTGACAGAAATCACTAGATCCCATCAATGTGCAGCCAAGACTTTTAATCACCTTGGCTCCTACTTAATAATATATGATATGTATATTTTGTCTCTCATTTAATAGAATGTAGAATTGACCAACAACAGAGTCAGTTTCTTAACTGTTGCTGCTCACAGTGAATGGCCCTTTAATGGGTAGATTTCTAAATCATAAACATGCATGTAGTAGCAGTTTTTCATCTGATCTATATACTGCAACAGTCTCTTGCCTATTTGTTTCTCAACTTTTTTTCCCCTCTTACCTTCCCCTACAGTATCTATTTCAGTTCATCCTCTTAGCCAGATTGGATTCAGCACATCCAGAATGGCAAACAATTTATTGTCATCCAATCCAGTTTTATCCTACTCAACACCCTGATTTTACCTAGGTCCTACTGCCCACTGTATTGTGGATCTTTCACAGTCCATTCTAATAAAAGGTTTTACAAGGCAGGAAAAAACCTTCTGAGTTCATCCTATCAATTCCCTTGCCTATAATCAAGACAGTAGTACCTCATCATCCCAGAACAATGTCCAAAGCTTCCTTTAATCATCTAATCAAGCATCTCAACTCCTAGTCTTTCAGCAGTCTAATCAATATCCAAATTCACCTTCTTAACCTAAACACTATATGCCCTTTTTCTGCCAAGACAGGATCCCTTTTGAACATGGTTCTGAGTCATTTCTATTATGACCCATATTCCTCCAAACTTAGCTTTCAACCTTCTGAGCATGTCCCTGAGATGCGTAGTGACATCCCGGGAATCTCATATGATTGTTTCCTGTAGCTTTGAGAACTAATGTGCCTTCCTTTGAGCTACTGATTCTTGGAATTTACAATATGTTTTGAATCTAGTTTCCTTTGAGAAACTGAATGAGTCTAATATATCCAGCATTTATGTTGTTCTTACAGTGTAAAGGACCTGAAGAGCCCCACATTTTTTATCTGATCAATGGAGAATAAACCCATTGTTTATAAGTTTGTCAAAAGACCCTTCCCAATCCAAAGCTCCTACATCCATATACACTGCATGTCAACTGAACAATGTGTCCTTGTTTATTTGGGTGCTCAAATGAAAACTACCTGTTATTTTCTAATTCTGAGATTATGAATCTTAATAAAGATACAGCAAAGGTAGAGGTGGGAGGCTTCAGGGGGCTGTGATTCCAAGTAAATAAAAGAGACAGTTTGCTTTTGAATGCCCAAATAAATATACAAGGGCATACTGCTCAGTTTATTCCCAAAGACTGAAGATGTAAAAGGTGTAGATGAAGAGATTCTTTTGTCAAATTATGTAGTTAAAGAATCATAAACAATAACGGGACACAGTCCTTCAAAATCGCTTAGTCCATCCCTATAATTATATAGATAGTGAAACTGTGGCCCAAACAAAGCAAGTTAGTTGGCAAAAGTTATGTAGATATTCAAGTCTCAGACTGTCCATAGTGTTTATCTGCATTCTCTGTAATGTGTTAAATAACACCAAAACAACTAGCTAAAACGTGAAATTATGGTCAGACTGGTTCTTTGATGTGATATGTCATAAAAGTTATTTTTTAACCAAATTAAATCCTCTTTTCAAAAAATGAACAGATGTAAATTCAGCTACACAGGTTTGCCTGGGACTATAGCTTTGAAAGACAATGAATCTGGTCATATTATTAACCACTGAGTCCTTTGTGAACTGCATCCTTATTTACCCTGTTGTTAAACTTTGAGCACATTTCAGTGTCGTGTTTGCTTGCTTATGGAAACTTAATCAAGCACTCTCCTCTCTCACTTGTTCATTTATATTACTCATTCAGGCTTTCCATCTCATACAGTAGTGTGAGTAATCAATCTATTTTGAGACTGCTTGAAAATCTGATGGATTTCAAATATGTACTTTATTCATGCTGTTGTTTCCTAGGTCCTAATGCCTTCAGGGTAACTCTTGGATTTGTGTTTAGGTTTTCTTTGTATACCTTTTTGGCTGTTCAGTTTTCCAGGTGGTGTAATACACTAATCTACTATGTGTACAATATTTTCCTTATGGTCACCATTATCAGTACTAAGCTCAATCAAATCCTTCAGGGAATAACCACCAACACCAACTCTTCTTGATTGTGGCACAGTAAAGACACAAGCACATACTTTCTTAGCTTAAATCTGGTATAAGAACATTTCTTCTCTTTAAGAAAGGCAGTTTATTGTGTTGTGTAAGGTAAAGATAGAGAAAAGTATTCCAAGCAGATTCTGCCAAGTAAATCCCATCAATAAAAACTTGACTTAGGGTGGTAATAGGTACAATTATGGGTAATGTTTAAAATAATTCAGGGCTCATCTTGTATGGTTCTTGCAGGTCCAGTGTCACTTCTATGTATAAAAATGTTCGATTCTGGAGGCACACTGCCATTTAGAAAGAATTACCTCCTAAATAAGATAAATCAGCTTATAAGATGAGGAGAACTGCAAGATGATTAGTGTTGGCATCCTTGCACTCTACTGAAGCTCTTTTTTTCCTATCATTCTACAGATAGCCTAATCTCTGCCCTTTGTGTCTCTGCCACATCTCTGCCATTATTGCATCTTACTTGCTTGCCTTTATACAATGAATCAAGCAATATCCTTTCTGACATGTTTATTTATGCTTATCACAAACTTCAATAAAAGGAATATGAATATATATATGTATATATATATGTATGTGTGTGTATGTATATATATGAGCAAATTGCCATGGAAGACATTTGAAGCTTTCTCTTGAACATCAGCAGCACATCAGCATTGCTTCAGGAAGTGACCTTTACATTTGAAGTTAAGGTCCATTTTTATTAGAAATTTGATGCTCAAGGCCTAGATTTCTCTGTTAGCAAACTTCTGAATGAGATAGCTGCTCCTGTGACCCTCATCATATGATGGAATACAAAAGAAATCAATGATCTGATATTTGCCCCCAAAGTGCTTTATAGTCTAGATGGGAAGACCAGACTTGCCTGTAAAGAAGTAGGTGATGTCAATTACAGAGTGAATGTGTAACATGAAATCTACTGCAAAGTGATTGAAGGTAGTGGTGGTGATAGGGCGGGAGCTTTGCAGGTTCCCTGCAAAGTATTAATGCCTGTGTGTTCTCATTAATCGTTTCTATTCCTTCTCTCCTAGGATTTTCTGATGTTCCCTAACATCCATGTAACTACAAGGGCTCTTTATCACCATAAGTGCCACTCTGACCCAAAACCACTCAGAACTCAAGAATCAAGGCGAAATGGATGCTGCAGTGACAGATGATTTCCAACAAATTCTGCCTATTGAACAGCTGCGCTCTACTCATGCTAGCAATGATTATGTGGAACGGCCTCCTGCCCCCTGTAAACAGGCCCTCTCAAGCCCTTCTCTTATTGTGCAAACCCACAAATCTGATTGGTCTTTGGCTACCATGCCTACTGCTCTCCCCCGCAGTCTCAGCCAGTGCCATCAATTGCAGCCCTTGCCTCAGCATCTGAGCCAATCTAGCATTGCCAGCTCAATGTCTCATAGCACCACTGCCTCTGACCAAAGGCTCTTGGCCAGCATTACGCCCTCACCTTCGGGCCAGTCCATCATCCGAACCCAGCCTGGAACAGGGGCCTACCCAAAGGCTGATGGTGCTCTGAAGGGAGAAGCTGAGCAATCTGCAGGGCACCCCAGTGAGCACCTCTTCATCTGTGAGGAGTGTGGGCGCTGCAAATGTGTCCTCTGCACAGCATCTCGCCCTCTCCCTTCCTGCTGGCTGTGCAACCAGCGTTGCCTTTGCTCTGCTGAGAGCCTCCTCGATTATGGCACTTGCCTCTGCTGTGTTAAGGGCCTCTTCTACCACTGCTCCACTGATGATGAAGACAACTGTGCTGATGAGCCCTGCTCCTGTGGGCCTAGCTCTTGCTTTGTCCGCTGGGCAGCCATGAGCCTCATCTCCCTCTTCTTACCCTGCCTGTGCTGCTACCTGCCTACCCGTGGATGCCTCCATCTGTGCCAGCAGGGCTATGATAGCCTCAGGCGACCAGGTTGCCGCTGTAAGAGGCACACCAACACTGTGTGCAGAAAAATCTCTTCTGGTAGTGCGCCCTTCCCCAAGGCCCAGGAAAAGTCTGTATGACCTTCCCACAAAATGGATCTAGAGCTTTCTCCTTCTAGCCCCCATCAGCAAAGCATCGGCTTCATCTTTGAAGAGGGGAAGGAGGAGTAAAGTAGCCAAAGTTAGGGCCTCGCCAATTTTGTTCCTGCAGTGTCAGGGGAATGGCCAAGTACATCCTGGTACAGGATGCCTTGTTCTTTCTCACAGTATCTATTCCACTCCTCTTCAACATTTTTGCACGCTGCCATCTCAGCCCTTATGGCTGTCATGGCAAATTCAGGTGATATATAGGCATGAGATTTGAACACTGAGGACTGACAGAGCCAGCAACGTGGAGGTTTAGGGGCTCCCCAATGTAATGCCTCTCGATGCAGGCTCTGAGCATCCCTCTGCTTTCCACAGTGCCTTTGGAAGCTTTCTTCTCAGATGGTTTTCACAGGCCCATGTGGAACAACATTCAATATTCCAGGGAATCTGACCCCTTCTCCCCATTGAGTGCCCTTCTCTTCTTTAGTCCTCTCTTTATCCTCTCTTCTTCTTTCATTACTTTGTTCTGTACTCCTTCCCTCTTCATTCTCACCCACTCTACTTTTACTTTTCCTCTTTTCTTTCTCTATCCCTTCTTTTCTACTCCTTCTCTCCCTTTCTCTCAGGCTAATCCTTTCTCTGTCTGTATTTCTATCTTGTTTGATCTATCTTTGTCTCTCTCTACCTGTCCCTCTTTCTCTCTCTAACATGTCCAAAAGTGCTGTTTTTCTGTAGGTGTTTCCTTTAACGCCAAACTTTGCTATGCTATACTAGTTATTCATTTTTATTAGGGGAAATGGATTACTGTAATGAAGTGATCACTAGCAATAGTCTATATCCTGACGTGTGTGTGTACTCATAACCACACTTACCTGTTTGTGAGCATATGAAGCAAAATTATCTTACATTTCCAGGTTTGATTAGTTGGAATTTTGCTCCCTTTTCCAATAACAAAGTTATAGTACTGACAGATTCCACTAGCATGCTGAGTAGGATAGGCAATCAGGATGCTCACAACTTTGTATGTCTGACCCAAGTGCCAAAGGCAGACGTGCTTTATAGCTAAATGAACAAAGCAAAGGATATTACAGAGGTCTGTTCTCTCTTAGAAGCTAACTGCCCTGAGACTGCATGGCTCAGGCCTTAATAATGGACATAAAAAGTCATAAAACTCTAGAGCTGGAAGGGATCATAACTGTTAATCTAGTTTAATGCCCTTATCTTACAGATGGGAAAACTGAGACATGGAGATAGGAAGGGATTTGCTCAAGGCCACACACTGAGTTAATAGCAGAGTTGGGACTTGAATACAGGCCTTCTGACTCCTAGTTCAATATTCTTTACCCTGTACCACATTAAGTCATGGGACTTTTCTCCTAGGACTCTATTAGAAATGACAGAAAGCCATTCCCATTCAAGTTTCAGGAACCATGCCAAGCTAGAGTGGTAGTCTATATGCAGTGCATGGTGGGTAGCAAATTGACTATCAGGTGTCAAGGCTGCCCCCAGTGACCTCACCTTTGGCTCTGTCATGTTGTAGAAACTCATGTGGAAAAGAAAAGAAAGTTTAAGGAAGCCCTAACCAAGCTGTATCTTCGCCATTGAACCTACCTTTTGCTGCACACACCGTGCTCGCTCCTGGCTTTGCAATGGCAGTTACCCGAGAACCTAAATTTCAGCAACAGTGGAAAACTGAGATGAAAGATGTATAATGCAGAGAACTGACTTCTCTTGAAAAATATTGAGAGCCTGTGCTGTGAATACTTTTCAATGGGAAAAGGCTGCGGTGGTGATGGCAGGCTTCTTGTAGACTGCTGCTAAAAGACTAAAGAATTAAATACAGTTTCCCTCTGTAAGTGAATCCAAAATTCACTCCAGAATTCAGAGATTGAGGGCACTTGCTTGAAATGAAGGTGCTCCAACTCAGTTTAAGACTTCCAGACTCTGACCTTATATTATCATCTCTTTTAAAGTGTGCATGGATGTGTATTGCAGGGTGAAGAGGTGGGAGAAATGTATAGTCATACACAGGGGAAGAAAAAAGGGAACATCCATGTCCCTTTGTTGGATATATGCTATAGAAAATATGTGCCACTCAGTCTTTGTTGGTTCCAAATCTTCCTGAAGTGGACTGATGTTTGGGCTGTGCACAGCCCCACACCTTCACTTTCACCTCCTCTTCTAGAATTGCTTTGCTCTATTTTTGTACATATAAATATGTTATGATGATTATTAATGTTAATGATATTGCTGCAAATGGTGCCATATATAAGGTTTGGCTTCTTGGAACATTTGTAAACCCAAACCAATACCTGTAACCTCTTACGTTGCTTTCAGATCCTTTAATTTCAAGTAATTTTTAAAATCTTATAAATCTGCCTGATTGAACTTTGAACTTATATGTGCCCAGTTCTCTGGGTCAAGCTGGATGGTGATGAGTCGCAACACACTTCTCTCTGCTTCTGCCTGAAATTTGCTTAGAGCTGAGATATATAAGGATTTTATGACACTAGTGCATTGTTCCTGGAGCTAAAGTTATTCTATGGATGTTTGCTTATTAGTTTCAGGGCCCAAAGTAACACAAGTCCCTCCTCCTTGACAGCTCCTTGATAACCCAATCCTGCAGTCCTTACTCAGGCAAACTGCACTGCCAGAGGGGCCCTGGGCTCTGCCATATACCCAGACGAGCTCTTCTCAGTGTATTTCCAAATGGCCTTACACTTGGTAGAAGAAACTGAAGGGTTACTCAAATGTAGTTGCAATCTGCAATCTGCTGCTGAGTCAGGGCTTTCACTTGTGTCCAAGTTGGCCTGATATGGACTGCATCTGGTTTACGTATAGATGGGTCCTGTTGGGGTACGCGCACGGATGTGTGAGTGAGTGTGCATATGTATCCCTTCTGAGATTTTTATATATATATATACACATATATATGTGTATATATATATATATCTTTGTAAATATATATATTCACACATCTCTATATATTTTAATGTATTGCACATGTATATTTAAAATATATACGAAAGAACTTTAAATCCTACAGAGAGGCTCTGTTTTCATTATTTTTCTACTTTGTGTCATCTATTGTATAAACAAGAATATTTAGAGGGTGTTTCCTGCTTAGCATTTTTCTGCAGTTAAATCATCTCTTACCCCCTAACTCTACTGCTTTCTACATATTGGTCCCTTGATACATTTCATATGGCTTTAGCCAAGAGTTTTCCTTTAGTTCCAGCCCATCTTCCCTCATCTTGATAGCTATAATAAACATAGTGAACACTTATATAGTGCTGACTATGTACTAAGCATGATTTTAAGCACATTACCTATATTAGCTAATTTAATGCTCACAATAATTCTATGATGTAGATACTATTTTAATTGCTATTTTACAGATGAGAAAACTGGAACAAAGAGAGGCTAAGTGACTTGCTAAAGGTAACAAAGCTAGTAAATGGTGAAGCTAGGAATTGAACCTAGGCTGTCTGACTCCTGAGTCTATGCTTCAGAGTGAAGTGTAGAAGTCTGGAACGTAGTATAAATCCCTCTGGTAAAACAAGTCTCAGATGGTGAAAGTCCTTTCCCAACTCCAGTCCACCTCCAACCTAAGAGTTGAAACAAATGTGCTCCTATATTAAGAGTGAAGCAATAGTTACAGACGACATATATTAGCTGTTTTGTTTCTCGAGATGGTGACATTACAAAATTCTTCACTGCTCCCTTTGAAAATATGCTTGCTAATTTCTCAGATGGCTTATGTTGTATACCTAGTAGAGAAGTATTTTCACTTGTGTCAGAGAAGGTAAGAGTTTATTTGGCCTTCTCTTTATAGACCCAGGAAACCTAAGGTATTTTTCTGCAGCAAGTAGAACTGAAACTATTTTTGAAACTTGAAATGGGTGGGAGATATTAACATTCAAATTTACTGATTATATTGAGTACATTCTTCTGATTTAAATCTAAGCAATCCACTGATGACCATCTGTCAGTATAACACCTTACCTTTTCCCATAACCTCCCTCACACAGACAATCTTTTACCTTGGCATTATTTCAGGGCCTGAAAGATCCTTAAAGAACATGTACTTCAACATCAACATTTTATAATTGGAGAGAAAGATGCAGAGAAAAGGAAAATAACCTGTCCAAAGTCACACAGTTCTGAGTTTGGGTGGAATTATAACTTAATTCCAGTCTGGAATTGTCGTAATTCCAGACTTCCTAATTTCCAGGTGTCTTTGTCTGAATTTCTTAGAAAATAAAGTTTGAAACAAAAGCTTTTGTGCAATACCCAGGGAAGGAGGAGTAAGGAAAAAGAATAGTGAGATAGGGAAGGAAGGAGAGCAAACATAAAGGAGTATATCACTGTGTTGGCAACAATCTGTTTCATGATAAGCTAAATTCTCAACCTCAAATCGCAGGCTTACTGCACCTCCATGCAGCCCATCTGAGGGAGGAAGAAGAATTTAACTCATGTCTCCCATTTCATTAGTCAAATACTTTCTGGGTGGGATATTTCCCCTGTACTTCCGCATAGTATATGTGTGGGTGCCCAAGCATGTGCCTTTGCATCTCCTGCCTCAGCAACAATGGGATAGCATTGAGGCTCCACTATAGACAGTAAGGCAAGTGTGTGAAAATAGGGAAACATAGGAACTTAAAGTGGCATGCTAGGCTTTTCTCTTACATCTTTAATCACATTCATTCAGAGTGAGTTATAGATAACCTACCATCTTTAATTTTTATTAAATATTTTATTGCTATTTGATTACAGTTGTCCCAATATTTCCCTCTTTGCGCTACTCCACCCAGCCCACCCTCTGCTCCCACAGTCAATCCCAACATTGTTGTCCATGTCTGTGGGTCATTTATACATACCCTTGACTAGCCCCTTCCCCTTTTGTCCCCTGTTATCCTCCCCTCCCCCGGACACTGTCATTCTGTTCCTTGTTTCCATGTCTCTGGTTCTATTTTGCTCGTTTGTTTTGTTCATTAGGTTCCTCTTATATGTGAGATCAGATGGTATTTGTCTTATGTTGCCTGGCTTATTTTACTTTGCATAATATTCTCCAGTTTCATTCATGCTGTCATGAAGGGTGGGAGTTCTTTCTGCTGCATAGTATTCCATTGTGTAAATGTACAAGTTTTTTGATCCACTCATTTACTGATGGGCACTTCAGCTGTTTCCAGCCCTTGGCTATTGTAAATAACACTGCTATGAACATTGGAGTGCAAAGGTTCTTTTGAATTGGTAATTTGGGATTCTTAGGGTATATTCCCCAGCAGTGGAATCACTGGGTCAAAAGGCAGTTCCATGTTTACTTTTCTGAGGAAATTCCATACTATTTTACACAGTGGCTGCACCAGTCTGCCTTCCCACCAACAGTGTACTAGGGTTCCCTTTTCTCCACAGCCTCGCCAGCACTTGTTGTTTGTTGATTTGTTTATGGTGGCCATTCTGACTGGTGTGAGGTGATATTTCATTGGGGTTTTACTTTGTATTTCTCTGAAGGCTAGTGATAATGAGCACCCTTTCATATATCTATGGGCCCTGTGTATGTCCTCCTTGGAGAAGTGTCTGTTCAGGTCTTTTGCCCATTATTTAATTGGATTGTTTGTCTTC